TTCAAGGAAAATTAAAACAGCTATAAGAAACAATAAACCAAGAAGATTTATTGGTATCAAATTTAGATAGTCAGTCCAAACAAATTAAAAGCACTTATTAGTAGGACACAGACAAAGAAGGTTATATGGAAATCTCACTTCATATGCATGACAGATAGTCTTGAACACCTCACCAGCTTGTGAATCCTTGCTAACATCAGGGTGATACTGCAACCACAGCGTGAAGACACATGAATACAAACAAATCATATTACAATTACAATGAAACTTTTTAACTTGAAAATTTTCAACAAAAAATAAAAATAAAAATAAGATGAATCTTAGGGAGGACTAATCATTCAGATTCAAAATCAAGACGTATGAGTAAAAACAGGCACAGAGGACAAGGGTTAGGTCCAAACCAAATCTTTTCAGGTTTAATTATTCATAAGGGTAGGCCTTATTAAAAAATTATTACAATACAATCGAGAGAATGAAATAATCTATTGCACTCACACTTAGCTACCGAATTCAATCTTTCTAGTCATAAATCAATATAAGGAAGCTGCTATGTTACCAAGATTCAAAAACTTGTTACCATTATCAAAACAATGGGTTTGATAACATCCAAGGTCTATTCGTACCGCACGGAAACAACAGGTTTGATTACATCCAAAGTTCATAGGTATGATCAAACATCATATTAGTAACATTAAAACATGAAATATAATAAAGAATCATTACAGTAACATGCGTTAGAATATTACTACATAGGCACACTTTATACAGAAAACTCATATATACAAATTGGTCTGGTAAGTGAAATGCAAAATGTCGACTCAATAAGCAAGGATGAATGATATGAAAAATTGGCAGTAAAAGAGCAATATCATATCAGTCTATATCCCCAGTTTGTATGCATAAAATTCCTGTAAATGTTACAAGTCTCATGTTGTTAATAACATTCATAACTTTAACTGGCAACACAAATCTCTAGTATGACCCTTAATTTAGCTATATAATTATTAATATAATTTCATGAAAGTTAAACTTAATACTGAGTTTGAATAATACTATAAATTAACACACTACATATTGGAATTTGAAGTTTAGAGCAAAATTTAGAAAAAATAGTAAGACTAATTAACTATCAAATGACATTTTAAACTCAAAAAATAAACTTTCTTTCATATTTTCTCACACTTTCTCACCAGCCAAACATAACTACAAACACGAACTGAAACTAATACTACCTTTCGGGCGAGGAGGCGATAAGCCTTCTTGATATCCGCTGACGTGGCACTGTAAGCGACGCCCAGCACGGCGTAGTGGTTCTGCTCGCCGTTGATCGCCGCCGCCGACGCAACCGCTGAGCGGGATCTTCTGCGGTGGCTGGTCGAAGTCAGGAGACCGGTTTTGAAGAGGGAGGAGAAAGCATCGGAGCCGTTGATGGGAGCGATGGGTCCCACCAGGAGTTGCGCCTGCATTATGGTTCATGTACATGCATGAGTTTTCGTTTTGGCGTCTTCGTTTAAGCTTTGCAGACAGTAAGAAATGGTGATAGCGAAATATAGATATCGAGCTCGGGCCTACATTGGGCTTGGGCTGAGCCCGGCTTGGTCCATGTCTATATCGTAATTTAGGGAAAGTTACATTCAAGGGTTGTTTGTATGTCTAAATATCAAATAACTTCAACAAATTACAAAAGTTAGCAATAAAGGGTCATTTAACGGGTGTTAGGGGTTAGCTTTAACAAATTGTTGACTCAACACTATAGAGTTCAATTCATACAAGAATGTATAAAACTTCTCAAATTGTAATTAATTGTCCCATTATAATAACTTAAACTTCAAATTTGAGAAAATAACCATTACCTACGTGAGATTGTTATAGAGATTATCAATCAAGATTAGGGGTGGCAAAAGAACTGGTCAGAACCAAAACCAGTGGGTACCTAAACTTCTGGTTCCAGTTCCTATCCATAACCAACCCTCACAAGGTAGGTTCCGGTTCTAAAATCCAGGAATCAGCTGGTTCAAGTTCCAATTCGGGTTTCACCCCTATAAGAACCGAGAATTAGAACCGAGATCCGGGTACCCAGGTAAGAACCGGGACTGAATTATAATTTTTTGTAAACTAGTGGAGGTGTATGCAATTTTTAGGGTTCATTTGTCATGTTTTGAAAAGTAATGGATAATTAAAATTAACCTGGGTATTCGAAATCAAAATTGGAACCTATGTTTCAAGTTCCAATTCCTTGCTTCTAGGAATCGAAACTGGTCGATTCTAGTTCCAAATCCAAAGAATCGACCAGTTCCGATTCCTTTGAATTTGGGCAAGTACTTGGACCTGTCCACCCCTAATCAAGACCCCAATAAGACAAGTATCCGTAGCTGAAGCGCTTACACTAAACTCCAAAAGAACTTTACCGGCCAATTTGGATTGTGGATTTAATAGAGAGAAAAAAGAAATGTATGTGAGCTAGGTAAAGGGGAGTAGTTTTGCGGCTTTAGCCCTCATTTGGAAAGAAACACTAAAGGCCTCACTCAGCTAATTATACATCTCCCTCACACAAAAAGTTTACTAGTATAAATTTAAAAGAAAACATACTCCCAAAAGGTAATCCAAACTTTGTATCCCTACTCTCTCATATGAAACTTTTGTGTTGATATGGCATCAATGGAGACACCCAGATTCCACTTCCAAGCCCAAATATAACTTGGCCCCAGCTCACTCAAGGTTGGAGTGATCCATTCTAGCCCAATTATAATTGTTTAGGCCCACTCAAAAACCAACGTCAATTAAGATTATTCAATTATTTTTGTGTCATTATCCATTGTATTTTAACGAATAATATCATTTATTGGGGTTGGAAGTGGTCAATTGTAACAACTAGTTTTCACGGTGCATCAATATTAGGTGTCATCTAATTTATTTGGCATCTACATTCATTGTATATACTATATTAGATGAATTTGAAAAGAAAAGACTTATCTAAGGGGGCGATTGGTTCAGGAAATATTAGATTACTAAGAATGTTAGATTACTGTAAAAATTACTGAGAATTCTTTAGGAAAATGTGTTTGGTTAATTGGTGGGTATATTATATTAATATGTTTGGTTGAGATGAATAAATTGGTGAGTATGTTATTTAAATTACTGAATTATCCTCTAATTATATATTATTATTATTATATTATTTTTTAGTATTGATTATTATTTGGATTATTTTAACCCCACTGCATTTAAAAACTTCGCAAAAACAACCCCATAATAAAAGTTTGGAAAATCAACAAAGCACCCTCACCAACCCAGCCACTGTCGGTTGCTGGCAACCTAACGGTGCACGGAAGGCAGGAAATGACCTCCGTGTGCCGTATGGCCATTTCCAGCCAGAGATCTGGTTGGAAATGACTAGAAGTGACAGATCTGGCCATCGACATACAAATCGACGGATTTGGCCTTTAACGGCCAGATCTAGCATGATCTGGCCATTTTCGGCCAGATATATGGCCGAAAATGGCCATATCGGCGCATGGCAGCAATTTTTAGCCTTTCGTGTGCCATTCCGGTAGGGGCGACGGCTAGCCATGGCGCTGGTTGCCAGCGGCAGGTGGGTGGAGGGGGGGCTTGGGTGGGCTGCAATTTGTTTTGAATTCATGGGTAATTTTGTCCAAAAAGTTATTTAATTGGGGTGAAATAGTAAAAACTATATTGTCCTAAAAATAAGGGCATTATTGTCCTAAAATTTTATCAATAAAGGATAGAACTGTAACAAAAAAAAAAAGAAAAAATTACCCTGGTAATCTTAGAATACCTAAGAAAATAGTGGTAATCAGATTACCTCTAATATTACCAACAGTAACTACTATTAGTATTTGAAGATTAAGATAATCTTATATTACTTAACAACTAAACGTAGTAATCAAGTAATATAAGATGGCATAACTCTAGTAATACCACATTACTTCTAACCAAACGCCCCCTAAAAGTTAGCTATTGGGATTAGTGATCGAATTTTGATGATTTTATGGAATGGTCAGGGGATGACTATTTGACGTAGAACATCTGGCGTATGAATTCATGGAGCAGACTGAACGTCAAAAGTCCATACGTAAAGCCCAAAGGTCTTAAATGAATATGTCTCATTCAAACGGCTATAACTTTTGATCTGAGAAGAGTTACAGGGCCCGTAAGATACCATTAGAAAACTTATTTCAAGCCCGTCAATGTGGCAACATGCTATAGCTGGTTAGAGGTTGTTTTCAAGGTCAAAATCCACCATTTTGGCGTGTTTTGGGGCTGTTTTAGTTGTTTGCGCGTTTTTTCCTATTTTATTTCAGGTTTTCTTGTTTTAATTAATTTAGTTTTTGTTTCTTTTTGTTGTTAGGAGTCTTATTAGGGTTGGTTGTCACCCTATATAAACTTATTTTTCGTTTTGGATGTTATTCAATAAATTAGTCAGATTTTACTTCAAATTTTAAGGTTTAAGTTTCTGGTTTGAGACTTATGTTATCAGTTCTAAAGGTGTAGTCGAATGCTAGTCTTGTTTTATCACGCTAACTCGCTGCGTCACTATTATAAGAAAAGCCAAATTCAATTCTTTTTTTTTTTGGTAACCAGAGTATCTAAACCAGCTTGTGGCACTTCAACTAATTCTCAGGGTCTACTAAGCACCCTACAAGCCCAAAGGACTAGGTAAGCCACAATGTTATTGTGGTAAGGGCCCCAACGTATGAATCTAGAAACTTAGGAAAGAGAGTAAATCTCTTTAACTGCCAAGTCAACCTCTTGAGGTTAATTCAATTCTTTCAACAAATCTATTGCTTAGAGTAAATTAGCATGGCAACACAAGCAAAGTTTGCTCCCTTTATTGACTTTCTAAGTTCGAACTTTGGAACCATCATTGCATTTGTGACTTATCTTGGAATATTGAGTTTATAAGGTTTTCAATGAGACTTAAGGATNAAGTTTGGAAAGACTAGGATGGCCCAAACGATTATGAAGGAGATCCGGAGACTCGGAGACAGTGCATGCTGTAGATGGGATATGGAGATGATAGAGACCTTGTGACTCACGTCCTGTGCCAATCATCCGTCCCGTGTTGCGGTCCTGTATAACAACAGAGTCAATATCAAAACGAATAGAGCAATTTAAAGAGCGTGTAAGTTTACTGACAGACACGAGATTAAAGGGACAGTTGGGAATATAAAGCACAGAGTCTAATTCTAAGGAGGGGAGGGGTTTTACACAACCAATAGTTTGAACATCGGCTTTAGACCCATTAGCTAAAGTAACAGGGGGTAAAGATGCAGTATTTGTAATCTAAGTAAACAAGGGTTACCAAAAATATGATCCGAGGCACTTGAATCCAAGACCCAGGGTCCTAGAGCAGAAGACTGAGTAAGGCAAGCAACTGAATTACCTGTTTGAGCGACAGAGGCAATGGATGAAGAAGACTGCTTACTGGCCTGATACTGTAAGTATTCATCATAATCAATACCTGTAAGAGTTAAGGAGGGTTGAACCTGCACTGTAGAGAACTCAGAATGAAGATCAGAGTGATCAACCTGAGCAATATTAGCAACCCGGGTAGGTCAACCATGTAACTTAAAACATTTCTCTCTAGTATGCCCCCATCGATGACAGTAACTACACTTGGGTCGATTTTCTCTGCCACCTCGATCGCCCTGTTCTCTTTTAATAAAAGTGTGGGACTGAGAAACAAGAACTGAAGAGTCACCAGGGGAATGCACTGTAGTAGGGGAGGAAACACGAAGTAATCTGGCAAACACTTCATCAAGGGAAGGCACAGTAGATCCAAAAAGGATTTGATCTCGAACAGATGTAAGATCTGGACCTAGAGCTGCAAGTGTCAAGACCATAAAGAACTTGTCCCGTTAAGCCAAATCTTCTGCCGCAGATTTACCAGCTGGTAACAGCAGATTGAATTCTGTCTTAAAGGAGGCCATCTTACCAAGGAAGTCCGACATATTCATATCCTGTTGTTTGAGATGAACTAAGTTGGACAAACATAATATAAACGTTAAATGTCATTTGTATAGAGAAGTTTAGCCTGACTCCAAATATCAACATAAGAGCGGTAAGATTTGTAAATAGGGTGAAGGGGGGGATCAATAGTTTGCCATAACATACTACACAACATAGGATCAATTTTAGTCCAGGAAGACTTATCTGATGTAATATCGGTAGCCTTGGTGGTCAAGTGATCCTCCAGACCTTGACCTATGCACCCTAATTCGACAAAGGCAGCCCATGATGAATAATTAGCAGTCCCAATTAATCTCTCAATGGTGATGGGAGGGAGAGATAAAAAAGAAAAACTACTTGGATGCGAGTGAGAGGCTGATGAAGGAGGATCCATGAAGAAGGTCAGAGTGTCTTGAAGCTGACAGAAAAGCAAAAGCTCACGCTCGCCGAAAAAACAGACCGGAGCAAAAGCTGACGGAAATACCTTGAAGGGTTTTGCCGGCGAGATGGAGAGGAACAAGATGCTGGTGGCGGTGAAAGCTCACACTCGCCGGAAAAGCTGATTGGAGCAGAGGCTGACGGAAACAAAATTGGCGCGTGAGGGCGCGTGTAGCGACGGTCAATGACAAAACCACTTGGGTTATGACGACGATGAGAAGACAATCAGTCTGGTGTGATTAGACCAGATCCTGATCGTTGCCGAAGAACAGTCGCCAGAAAAAAAAATTGCCGAGAAAGAGAGAAAAAAAATTTGGAATTTCAGAAACCTGGCTCTGATACCATGTGAAGAAACACTTTGTATTTACTTATTATTTCACAATGAAATGTACCATGAATTTATAGCAAAAACAAAAGACTAATCTAGGAAGTAAATTGTTACATTCCTATTATAACTGATCTAATTTTTAATAGCTTTGATTCTAACCTAATATAGAAGACAGTCTTTAATGAGGATAATCTTATTTCCTATTTTACGCTTCAACACAAACTATAAACTTTATGATGATAGGGTTATATTATACGTTAAGTTATATCAACTTAAATTTTTAAGTCAAAACGATCTATTCAATTGGGCCTAAACTATTACAATATCTCTAATAGATGTTTATTGACAATAAACTTTATGAATTATAAGCCATAGTTAAATTGTCAAAATTAATAATTTATGTTTATATTGGATCCATTTATTCTTACAACTATTTCTCCATACTCACGTGCCACATATGATTAAACCCAATGTTTGTAACATTAAATCCACTTGAAAAGACATTGGGAAGTGATTTTTATGTAGGAATTTTAACGTGAATTCCACTCAATTCTAACAATCAATCCTTAGATCTGCATATTGATTATGGAATACTGAATTCAAAGATTAAGGATTAGAAAAACCTGATCCTACCATAATTTCTGAATTCCTTGAATTCCTTGCAAGTAATAACCAGTCTTCCCTTTTTTAAAAAGCTCTAGAATAACGACTTCCTAATGAGGTCTAGCCTATGATCACATTCTGGAAATGAAACCTAGCCAATTTATAACAATTTATTGGGTCATTCCATTAAAGGTCCAGTAAACTCTAAAACTCATTACAAGCCCAAGCCCACACTTGTCATCGACCCAGATTACCAAAATAAAGTGTAATGGGCCCTCCCAGAATGATCGCATTAAGTCCATCAGGATATCTCATTGGACTGTGTATTTACTCGGTTTTATCAAACCAAAATATAATTAATGTTAGCCCACAATTAGGAAATATTCTAACATTATAGCCCCCATCTAATTGATCTTTACCTCCTGGGTCATGGCTAAGTAAATCCCTTCAATAATTTAAAAAAAAAAAAAACTCTTTAAACCGTATTTAATAATGAAAATAACTCTATAAGCTTAATTAGGTTTATTTTCCCCAGTTTCAAACTTAATTAGTTTTTTTGTTTTATACCCTTTTTCCCAAATCAAACTTAATTAGGTTTTTTCTTTGCACACTTTTTTCTCCAATTTCCTAATTTCAACTTGTTTTCTCTTCTTTAATTTCATATTCAGATTCATCTCATTATGTTTTCCATAATTTCAGTATTATATTTTCATCAAACAAACAAATATTTAAAATAAAACAAAAGGTTTCAATGATAATATTAATTTAGGGTTAGGGTTTATATAAGATTAAATGTTAAAAATTAAAACAAAAATGTAAAATATAATATGAGTGTATGTAGAAATTATAATGTTTATTTCTATTAATTTAAATTAAGGTTAAATTTGTAAAAATACAAGATAAATTTAAAAGTGGGGGTTGAAGACCAACTAGGTAGGGGCTAAAAATCCATTACAAAAAAATACATTTCGTATATGGATAACTTTATTCAAATCCATTACCCATTGGACTCTTATAAAACCAAAGCCCATCTGAATGGCCCTAATTCGTAGGTTTTAATAAAGCCCATAATTACCCATTGGATCTTGATTAGAAAAATAAAGCCCATATAATTTATATTTTTACGATACAAACAATCGTAAAATAAATGAATTTTATATGAATTATTTTTTTGATAAATGAGGTTTCTACAAGTCTTACAATTTTAATTTTTTAACACAAAAATCAGTACATTAACGTTTAATGGAATGGAAATACAATAAAAATGAATTATTATGGAAAAAAATTATATTAATGATTAAAAAAAATTAGTGTAAAAGTCATACAAAACACAAACAATTATGACTACATATTTTACATATTTTATAATCAAATCATAAGATTCTTTCAAGTGATTGCACATGTTGAAGTATTTTTTATCTAATTTTATGAATTGTAGAGAAAATAACAATTTCATCCCTCAGGTTTGGCTTAATTACCCTTCAATCTTATAGAGTTTTTGGTGTCGATTTGGTCTATATCAATTAGGGGTGAGCATAAGTTTGGGATAGAATCGGAACTGATGGGTACTCGGGATTTTGGTTCCAGTTCCTACTCGAAACCGGCCTTCACAAGGTCAATTCCGATTCTCAAAAACTGGGAACTGGTACTATGTGGTTTTAGTTCCGGTTTTACCACTGCAGGAACTTGGAACCAAAACCAAAATCGAGATTCGAGTACCTGAGTTCCTGAGTGGAAACCGAGACTGAACTATAATTTTTGTAAACTATTTAGGTGTATTTGTTATTTAATAAAAATTATGGGGTAATTAAAATTAATTAGGCACTCGACACCGAAACTGGAACCTATGTTTTAGGTTTTGGTTCTTGACTTCTACAAACCGAAACCGGTCAGTTCTGGTTTCGATTCCAAATCCAAGGAACCGATCGGTTCCGATTCTAGTTCCGGTTCTTTTGATTTTGGACGGGTACCCAGACCTACTCACCCCTACTATTAGTTACATTTTGGTCCCTGAAATTTGTTAATAATTAGGATCAAAATGTTACTAGAAAAGTCTATAAGACAAAAATGTTATTTAAGCCAAATCTCTGGGGAAATTTAATCATATATCCCTTGATAGTCAGAAAAAACAATTCAAAACAATGACAAAGCTACAGTTAGCCCAATGGCCCCTAACTATAACCTCCCAACCACACCACTTAAAAAATTAATATTTAAATTGGGTGCATGTTTTTCAATTTTTGAGCGATTAGATTAATGCATTAGGTCGGTAAAGATTGAATATTTATTTTTTATTTTTTAATATGCATTAAATATTAAATTGTATCGAATATCAATATAATAATAAAAAAAATGTGAATAACCTTATTTTGAAATTTATAAAAAGATTCTTTTTCTAAATTACTTATTTAAAAAAAACCCNGACAACCTCCTTGGGCCTCGCATCGCTAGCTGGTATATTTGTTGAACTCAGTTTTGACACAGATTATGGCATATCCACCATCATGTTTGATCTATCATCATCATCTTCATTGTTCAAAGCCTGGAACACGAGGGATCCTAACAAGATTAGAGAAGTTAAATGGTGAACTGACTCAACTTCTAGATTTTTGCATACAATTCAGTAACACCAATCTAGATTTGCAAAGTCAGGAAGATTGAACAAAAACAACAACAATCATCACAAACACCCTAACAATTTAGAAAATCTGTTAAAATTTCTTTAACCTAATGTTACTAAAGCATAATAAGCGGAATTTATCATCTACGAGCAATAAAGAGTGAGACAAAGAATCCAACCAGGAAGAAAAAAAGCACAGTACAATCAACCAGGGAGAAATGACATTTTACGAAAGTGAAATTCATTGTGCAAGGCTTCAATGTCGATACAAATCTTTCATTCTTGAAACAACATTTTATATTCCATCGTATCATATTGTTGGTATTATCCATTTTGGGCCCAGGGTTTACACGGTTTTGTCCTAAAAATACGCCTTTAGGTGGTGAGGATGTCTTTGTGTTGTATAAGTGACCAAGCCGTCATATCCTAACCAATATGACTTTGGCACCAACACAGCCCCTATGGGGTGAGGGGCTTGGGAGTGGCCTAGACCCTCCTCCTAGTGCCAAAATGTTGATGCAGTTTTTACATCAACGAGAAGTACATAAATTTCTTGACAAAATCTACATAAGGATTTGTAGTAAATTGGTATTTTAATGCTAAATCAATATGGAAATGGCAAGCAAACATAATAAACAAATAATTTTTAAAGTGGTTCAGATGCAAGGTGCAAATCTTGTGTCCACTACTATGGTATTACTTTTCTTGCGTGTTTTTCGTGTGCAAGCGAAGATTACTCTCAATTTGGATGAGGTAGTTTAGATTAGGGTAAAAAGGATCCCCCAATAAGGTGAGAGATCAGTATATATGTTGTTGCATTGGTAGACCTACAAGTGAAGTAAACCTTAGATAGAATGACACGTGGCATGATTGACAGCATGACCTTAGGACATGTGACGTGAATCCATGCTGCGTGGATTTACTGCCTAACACATATGGTGTCTTGTAAGAACTGATCTTATCACAAAAATTCTTGTTTCATAAATAAACATACAAGCACTATCATCTAAATGTGCAACCCCCATTATACACCAAGGTTTGGCGAAACGACACTTTTCCACCCGTGAAGTTTCAAAATAACACTTTCTCACCCTTTGTCAGGTTTGGTTAGTGTTTTCTAATAATATTTTACTCAAAAGATAAAAATACCCTTAAATAGTTTATTTCTTAATTAGTTTATTATAAATTAAATTTAGTTAAGCCAAAGTGATTATTTATTAGTTCAAATGTAAAGATATTTTTTTTCCTTTATTTATTTAATTAATTAGGAATATTGATTTTCTATGTTAATTAGTAAAAATGAAAAACATTATATTATGGAAAACATTATAAATTTAGTAGATTATTGAATAATATTTATGAGCTATTGATGACATTATAAATAAATAAATAAATAATTATTAAAGTTATTTAACTTTAAACAATTCCACAGCATTACTCTTAACTTTTTAGTTGGGGTTAATTGTTTTTTCTTTTTTGACTTTTTAGCTAATTAAAAAATTATAAAAAAATTATAAAGTCAAATATGTAAGGGTATTTTTGTCTTTTTAGTCAAATATTAATAGAAAACATAATAGAACCTAACGATGGATGGGAAAGTGTCGTTTTGCCAAACCTTGGGTGGGAAAATGTTGTTCTCCCCTTTTTATAAAATAAAGCTCCTTTGTGCCATTTTTATAGTGAGCACCCGGTGATTTTGAAAATATGACCTAACCTAGTGTGTTTAGTATTTTTCTGTAGTGAGCACTCATTGGTTTCGAAAATATGACTTGACCCATATTTTTTACGAACTATTAGGTTATTCTGTTTAAGTTTGTAAGGAAATGACATTTTTACTATTCATCCAAATTCAATCAATCTAATATCTAAAATTTGTCAACAACGTTTGGAGGTTAATATAGTTTTTGGAGTTTAAATTGATAAAATTGTTGATAAATTTGAAAGTTTAACCGATGATATTTCCAAAACCAATGAATGCTCACTACGAAAAAGAGCAAACACACAGGGTTCTGTTCGCATTTTTGAAACCAATAAATGCTTACTACAAAAAAGGTCAAACACACAAAGGTTTACTAAAATTATGTAAATTAATCTTATTAACAAAGCAAAAATAGTTGAAACATGTTACACTAGTAAATCTAGTATAATATATATGATTAATCTACTTTAATTATTCAATAAAATATGAATAATTTTAATGGGGTCAGAATTGTTAATTACTATAAAACATATACCTGTTTTTAATAATTTCAGAATTTCAGTAGGGTCAAGTGACCCTATTGAGTATACTTTGACGACGCCCTTCGTAGAACTCATTTTCCAAAACCAAGTTATAACAAGTCGAATAAAAGTTGAAAGCCTACCAAATTTAATTCAAATAGGCCAACACTTCTTGACCAAATAACACTCAATACAAAAAAATCAAAACACAAAATGCTTATATGGTAGCAGAACATGACCACATTCATTCCTCACTCAATACGTTTCTTCTCCTCCCACTTTGTTTTCTGTTTCCAGGAACAATGAAAACACTTTCCTTTCTGTCAACTTGCCTTCCCTAATTTTATTATTATTATTATTATTATTTTGATAAACAGGATGTTCGAGTCAGTTTGCGTGTCC